CGCCCGCTTCACCCGAGGCAAATCCCCGCTCCTGGAACGCGCCCTGGGCCGACCCCGCACCGAAGTGAGCCTCAGCGCCTTCGCCCTCCTCTTCTCCGAACTGGTCCAATATTGTCAAAATCGCGTCTATTCAGTAGCCGAGCTACAGGCTAAACTTGCCCGTTTGGGCCACCAAGTTGGTCTTCGTGTCTTAGACGCTTTGGTAGCTCGGGAGAAGAACGGTCGACGAGAAACCAAAGTTCTTAACGTTCTTCTCTTCGTGAAGGGTCCCGTTTGGCGAGCGCTTTTTGGGAAAGAAGCCGATAAATTGGAACAAGCCAACGACGATGACAAAACCTATTACGTCATCGAGAAAGAACCGTTGGTCAACACCTACATTTCCGTTCCGAAGGAGAACAGCACCCTTAACTGCGCCGCCTTCACCGCCGGTTTGGTGGAAGCCGTCCTCACCGCCAGCGGCTTCCCTGCCAAGGTGACGGCTCATTGGCACAAAGGCACCACCCTCATGATCAAATTCGAGGAGGCCGTCATCGCCCGTGACAAAAGTTTGGAGGGACGTTAAAAGAGGGGGGGAGGATGATGACACATGGCCGACGGGCGTTGAGGTTCCTCAGCCCTTGGTTCTTGGGCCTTTGGGGTGGTTCTTGGGTGCCCTTGGGGATGGCGAAGGGGGTTTGGTGTCCCTCTACGCCATCTGATGGCCTTCTTGGTGGCCCTTGGCTTCTCCTGGGGTCCCTTGGTGTCCCTCACCGCTGTCCCTTGTCCTTCCTGATGGCCCTTGGCTTCTCCTGGGGTCCCTTGGTGTCCCTCACCACTGTCCCTTGTCCCTCTTGATGGCCCTTGTCCTCCCTTGGGGACCTTGGAGCTGGTTTGGATCCCTCATTGATGTCCCTTGTCCCTCCTGATGGCCCTTAGCTTCTCCTGGAGTCACCGGGGTCCCTTGGTGTCCCTCGCCCCCATCCAATGTCCCTCTTGATGGCCCATGTCCTTCCCTGAGGACCTTGGAGCTGGTTGGTGTCCATGGACGCCATCCGATGTCCCTCCTGATGTCCCTTGGTCTCCCTTGGGGATATCAGAGGTGGTTTGGGTCCCTCACCGCTGTCCCTTGTCCCTCTTGATGTCCCCTGTCCTCCCTTCGGGACCTTGGAGCTGATTGGTGTCCCTCACCGTTGTCCCTTGTCCCTCCTGACGTCCCTTGGGTCTCCTTTGGGGACACTCGCGTGCATTGGTGTCACTATAAACCTTCTCTTGTCCCTCCTGGTGGCCCTTGGCTCTTCTTTGGGGGGGGTTGGGGACATTCTGGGGGGGGTTGGGGACATCCTGAGGTGGTTGGGGTCCCCAGACACGGTCCCATGTCCCTCCGATGGCCCTTGGGG